CATGAAGCACTTTTTCTACTCTATCTCCGACAAAACAAAATAAATAAATAAACAAATAAAATAAAACTGGCCTGGCAAAATTAAAATGTTATCTAATAAATTACATGATGTGTCAATCCATAAATCGGTCTAATCATTAATCACATACCAGTGTTATTTTAGCATAATTGATTTACTAGAATTTTTTTATTTTATGTTAATTATTATTGAATTCATATTTGAATTAGATTTCATATTTTCTGTTTTTATTTCAGTTATAGGAATTTTGTTTTGTGTTTTTAATAATTTTTTCTTAAATATGTCTATTTAGCTTTCGTTAAGTTTTTTTTTTTTTTTTTTAGTTCTAGTTTATATAGTTTTAGGTCAATTAGTACTTCAACTACTAAATGAAAATGAGAAATGTTGCCTTGTCAACTAGTTGGAATCATTTTTGTTTTTGTAACTTTGTTGTGTGTGTTTGTCATTTATTATTATTATTATTATTTATGACTATATTTTTTTTTCTTGAGTTTTAGTTTTAGTTTAGCTATTTACTTTAGCTTTTAGTTGCAGTTATTTTAGTACTTAAACTAAATGAAAATAAGAAATGTTACCTTGGCAACTAGCTGAAATAAAATATGGTAATGCCTTTTTATGGTTTTAGTTGTGTCGAATACAGCAATATTTACTGAATGATAAAGAAAAATGTAAATAATTCAAAGACATTACTGTCTGTACTGACATAAATGTCTGACTTGCTAAAGCTAATTTCATGAAATTGCATTTCATGTATCCTTATATAAAATGTATTTTACATAATTTGATAACATTTTAACAAAGTAAATTATTATTTAACATGATTTTAATCTTTTCTGGACACATATAGCATGCTCTACAATAGCTTGTAAACTGATAGCCCCCAAAATAAGCTTTTACTGTTATTATTATTATTATTTTCGGCCTTTATGCCATTTAACTGATAGGGATCATAGAAAAAGAACTGGAAATGCTGCAGGCAAGGAAGAGCAGTTTCAGGAAATGACACAAGCCAGATGCAAATTTGCATCAGCTGTATAGGTGCTCAACATTTCCTACGCATTTGTTAATCCCTACTAGGCCACGCCTCCATCTCACATTCACAGACATGCAAATGGTCTAATCTGTCTACATCTGAATACACTCTCCTTGAATTTTGAAGTTCTTTGAGATTAGCTCGCTAGGTGACATCCGGAGAGTCAGCAATCACATGGTGGAGCCGCAGGCCCTCCCTGTTAGAATACTGCAGTGCACAGGAGCTATGGTTGCCACAGGGATTAGGGAAATGTATGTTCAACAATCATGATAAACAGGATGAGTTGGCTCAGAGGCATCATACATTATTCAGGATTGCTCGTGGTGAGTTCCTGCACGCCGATGGAGCCGTCAACGTAAATGCATGTTACAATTTTTCTGCTCGCAACACTACACCTCATGAAGTCTAAAAGCATGCAGCGGACGGGGCAATGAAACAAATACTGACTTGGGAATCCACATGAACGACCTTCCATCAAGCGTGCAATTAAGCAGGTGTGGCTGTGGGAAATAAAAGTGAAGTCTATTATGACTTGGCTGTTTGAACCTGCTTGTAGCACATCCTATCGCCTCTCTAAAAAAAATTAACGCTGTAGGGTAAAACTCTGTTTGCAGAACTATCAGGTACTGAGGAATGAGCAGAGGTTACACGCTAAGTTTAGTCACTATAAGAGCCCATTAGGACCCTTTGAGACATGACAGGAAATTAGGGCAGATGTTATTCTGGGGCGTTTGTTTTCCTTTCAATGCTTTGTTCAAGTAAGTCAAGCACTGAGAGCAGCTGGATGGTTATGGATTTATGCACTGAGTTTATTTCACCTCAGACAGCTGGGCAGGGCCAACTGTGAATGCAATGACATGCTCAGAGAACTTTTTAGTTTTTTTCTTTTGCTCACCCTAACTCACCCTGTCTACATCTGTCGGTGGTGTTCAATTTCAGTTTTTTTCTTTCTTTTGTCCTGTAAATTTAGCCTTTTGTCATGTCATATTCATTCATTTAGACTGAAATATACAGTACATAGAATTATCACATAATCATTTGAAATAAAATAATTTTATAATAAAATAAACATTTTAATAAAACAAGAATTTTAGTATTCCACACTTTAAACAAACAAACAAAAATCCTAAAAAAAACTATTTTCTTAATTTCATATTCATAAATTTTGTCCATTTTTTGAAATGATTGAAATATACAGTACATAAATGTCTAATCTACTGTAAATTACTCTAAATTAGATAAATATCTAATAATATATTAAAATATATTATTTATTTTAGTAGACCATACATTAAACAAATAATCTTACATTTCAGTAATGTGAAGTCAAATTTTAGTTAGATTTTAGACTGAAATATACAGTATATAAAATAATTATCATATAATCATTTGAAATTATGTAATATATTTATATAAATAAAACATTCAATGTAAATAATTTAGTAGATCAAACATTAACAAAATTGTGTACATTTTGAAAAAAAGTACAAAATGTATTTAAATGTATCAAATCACAGAAGAGATTTATCATCAAAAAACAAAAAACAACAACAACAAAAAAGCCATTATGACGGGCAAGGTATTCGTTATTTTTCAGTTACTGATTTCTTCATGCATTAAAAACTGTTATTAATTTTCCACTTTAGAAACTTTTCAGAATATTTCTGAAGTGTAACGTGTTATGGCAACAACAACTTGCACATTCGGACTAACACTCAAGTTTGTCTGTCAATTTGCTTCATTATCTGTGCAAATACATACACATCGCTGTTCAGCTCTTTCAGTTTCAGCTCTTTCATCATACTATAATTAGATCTTTTCAACCAGTTCTTACTGAATTTATCTTCTTCTAAAATCATTTACTGCATTAATATCTTAGTTATCTTTCCCTCATCATATTTTAAGCATGTTTTAATTAAAATGGTTTAATTATTGTCATCTATCGCATCTTTGTCATCTCATCTTCATTAGCATTGAAAAAATATATATTAAAAAAAACTTCGTTAAACATTTCCATTAGTAATGTTGCTGACAAGATTAGCACTGTCGCCTGCCTCTTTTTGTCTCTCTGTCTCTTTCTCTGTGCGTCTATCTCATTTAATTTCTCCATTCTACCGTTGCACATAAAGCAGCTTTCTGTGACTGGATTCTTATAAATGTGCATCTGGAAGAAGCCGGCAACACCCTAAACTGCACCAGACTGCACCATTCTCTTTCTGATGGCTGTTTGCGGTGAACTTTGCTCGGGTGATGATAAAGCAAGCCATCTCCGATGGGTTAATTGACGAATCATTTCCATAATTCCTGCACAGAGCTTCAACAATGCGTATATAATTGATTGTATGTATTTTCTCACAGTAGCGGCTTTGCTGCAGGGTGATATCAGTGTCCAGACAACAGCAACAAGCTTAAGAGAGATGCACTTCCATTAAAGAATTAGCCACTATAGCTTAAAGCACTTCACGGAGGACAGCCAGAATGAATATAAGGAAACGCCTATAAGGGGTACAAATGCATAGCTGGATTAGAGCTCTCGCTGACTGCCTTTGTAGGAGGGAGGGAGTGAATGCTGGCCGCTTTGTTCATCTGGAAAAACAACAGAATTAAAATTCTGCTAGGGAGGGAGACAGAAGGCAAAAACATAATCCATGCTTGAGTGGCTCTCTCTGAAGATGACATGGACTGAAGAGAAACACAATTACCACGGTAACAGTAACGTCAGCTCAGCTGCACTTTCTTCCTCACTGTCAAGGATGAGCTGACAAAGAGAGATATTTTTCTATGCTAAGGCCGAGGTGACAAAGCGGTGAATGTCACCCTCCCCCCTATGCATCATAATGAACAAAATATCTCTGAATGAGTGCCACGTCTTTACACCTCATGAGAGAAAAAATGAGTGTATAGATCTTTCATAGATTACTTCAGTCCTCAGTGAAAGAGAAAGAATGCACTAAGCAACAAAATCACAGCTAAGGAGAACATACATGATGTTTATCCCTAAAAAGTATTTGGCTATTTAAGCCACACTTCAAAACATATGAATACCTCATATTTAAAAAATAAAAAATAAAAAATCAAACCAAGTGGCCTTTATGTTATAGAAATATGGTGCACTTCTCAAACAAAGCATTTAAGGTGAATAGGATAAACATTTTAACTAACAGATATCACCATTCTTCCCCAGTTAATTAATCACAGTACATTAAGGCATTTGTTTTGTATGACACATTTTCTGAAATGTTATGTTTAACTATGCAAATGAACTATGCACTAATTTGCATACATTTCCAGAACAGAATTCTGAACACTGGATAAATATATGTTCTTTTTCTCTCTCTCATTTTGTCGACATATTAAAGGTTTTTACAGAGGTGATTTTGGATATCCTTTTTCAGAATAAAAAAACCTTAGGAATAAAATGTTTAGTGTATATAAGTGCTTTTAAGAAATCAAATATGTATTTGAAATCAGATGCAAAATAGGCAATACCAGAATACAGATTTAAATATATAAAGTGCTATAAAATAAACACTTAAATGTGTACTTTGGAGTTTTTCTTTCCACTAGTCTGAAATAAGACAAGTTATAGAAGCAAAATAGCCCAAAATCTCAAAATTGTCAGGGCCGTGAAAACAATGGTTTTGCCTACAGTGTCTTGCCATTAAAAGTAAGTTTGTTAGATAAAAAAATAAATCACTCTCTTGCAAGTGGTTAAAATAAAAAAAAATGTTAAGTAGAAAAGTTCTTGCATCATTTGTTATGAGATCAGACTATTTAATCTATTTTTTAAATCAAATTTTATTCTAATACAATGAAATTCATATATTTTAAGTGTGGCTTAGGTGACCAAATATGATTAAATACAGCCATGGCCATCATAGAAATGACTGTCAAGTGACACAATGTAAGATCAAAATCTAGACTCTACATGCAAAATATAGGTACTCACCTCTCTCACAGGAGCGTCCCAGATAGCCCGTCCCTGAGCAGTCACATACATATCGGTTCCAGCCCTCTCTGCAGGTGCCGCTGTTCAGGCAGGGGTTGCTTAGACACTGTTTGGGAGGTTCCTTAGAGCAGGATGGCTTCACCCCGACAGCTCTCTGGGCCTCCGCTATACGCCGGATGTCCTTGCTCTGGCCGTCCATGAACAGATCTCGCACACAGCCCACATATCCGTAGTTTAGGAGCGCAGTCCAGACCTCCGTAGGGAAGATCAGACCGGCACGGTCCTCTGGCAGGCCGCCCAAGTAGAGTATGTCGTCCAAGTCCAGGATCTCACTCTCACCGGGAGCGTTGTAGGGAGTACGGATCGAGTTGATGGAAATGGTGCCTATCACAAAACCACAAGGAGCAAATTTAATATCGTTAACTTGATGTTTAGATGCTATTTCAGCAACGTCTAAAAAGTTTGATTCAGTTTTAATGAGAAATTATATATGCAAATTACAGACTATGCAAATGAGGCTCTTTAAGGGTATTGAAATTATCCTTCATTCTTTCCTCTAAATAAAACCCCCTTTGCTTTCAAAGCACACAATGCAGACCAAAATCTCTCAGTTTCAGTCTCCTCAAAGTGAATCTGAAATGATGTAGCTACTGTATATTCATGTTTAAGCTTGGAAGTGTGAAAGATGATTTCTGAGCAACACTTTGTCACCATTTGTCAGAACAGCGCCTATAGCACTGATTTGTCAGTTTTGCATTTGTAGGTATGTGTCGAGTATAAAATCACTCTGCGGATGATCAAATCAGCTTGATATAGATGTCAATAGCAAAAATATGAGTTATGAACAAGAACGGAGCTTGAAAAAACTAGGAAGCCCGGGACAAAATTTGGGCCTTCGGCACATTGAGAATTCTTTAGCATACTTTCTGGTTAAGGTATGCACTTATTTAATGTATTCAAATTGTTGGAATAGACAGACTTATTTAAATAATATTCAAAATTATTGTTTACTATTTCTTATTCATTATACCATTTTTATTTCATTACAAACATCGTTTTGTTGAGGGAATCTGTATAATAAAGTCCTCTGTACAGTCCTATATTGTGTGTATACTATTACTGGATGCATATAGTAATCATTTAAATGTTACATATTGAAATGGGAAATGGAGTCACTTTGCAGTCATAAAAACATCACAGAGGGATTAACATTCATATATGTGCACATGCTTTCATATTATAATCTGTTTTGGGCTGTCTTGAACTGAGAGTGCAAACTAGGGCTGCACGATCAATCGAAATGGAATCGAGATCGCGATTCGACAGAAGCTGCGACTGTCATGTGTATCTTTCAGTGAAGCACGGTTCTGTGATCAGCAGTAAATCTCCATGCAAAGGCCAGAGGGCGCTCTCGCGCTGAAACTCCAAATACGCCTCGCAGAAGAAACCCAGAAAATGCCTATAGCGGTAGCTGGATAAACAGAAGATTCAACTGCTTTCATTGATTCAACGTGACTAATAAACACACGACTACGGCAATATATGGTTTATCTGAGTTCTTATTATTATAATTTTCATTAAAATAAAGTATATTTATAATTCAATGCCTTTATCACTGCTTAAATACTATGAAATATGTTGCGTGTCTTATTCTGTGTAAGAAGCCACATTATCTCACAGAAGAATTTATTTCAAACACTCTACTGACGTTATGAAGTGAGTTTGGAGTAAAAATATGTTATTAAATGTGATATTTTCAAATGCTTTCAGATGGAGCAGCATTAACTTCACAGAGCAGTAGTTCACTGAGAAGCTATGCAAACAGCTGTCATTATCGCGATCGATTTCAGAATCGCGCAATTAAATCGTGTCAGTGACTTGTCAGTGAACTATGGCTACAGAACCGGCTTTACTAACAAAATACGCATGACAATCGCATTCGATTAATCGTGCAGCCCTAGTGCAATCCCTTACACAAGGACAAAGATTCGAAAACAGTCTCCATAGCAACAGTAGACAATATGTTGCAGATTCACTAGATAGTCATCGTTTTCAAAAGGGCACATGACAGAATAAACGCTGAGCACTATTCATATCTAATTTATTGGTTGTGACTGATTCAGTTGTCACAAATTATTTATGTACCCTTTCAAAGCATGCTTCAGTCCGCCCTCTTCTTTTATGGTTTACGTCTAAAATACCGCTTTTACAACAGTGGTTAATATAAAGAGCAAAAACACAGTGCTCTCAGGTGAGGCGAGTCTTTCATTCAGTCTAATAATGTTAAAACACTTTCACGAGTTCCATAATCACCCTCATTGTTTTCCTGGCGACTCCAACAAACAGGCATTTAAACGCAGCTGGCAATTCAGAATTTTCCTTCTCATTTTCCACCACTGTGCACTGCCATTATTCACGCCTTGAAGGCAGTTACAAAAGAAAAGCCATTACTGGCAAGATAGGAGAGAATGGGCAGGGATTAACGCAAAGCGCAGGCTACTGCTGAATCCTGTTTATTAGTGTCCAACAGTCAGTCCAAACTCAATAAAAGGCGGCTTAGAATTAAAGATGCCACCTTTTCAGTGCCAAAACCTTATTTCTTTAGTGACAAAAATGCAGCTTCTGTTATAAAGGCAAATTAGTGTGACTGTAACCGAGGGGTCAGCTGGAGGTGGTACTGTAAGGCATGCGACATGTTAAAGGGACAGCTCATTTAACGAAGCACTAAAGCAAACACACATCTCATGGAGGTGCATGTTAGGGAAAAATACTTTTTACCAATGTTTTGGCAACAAGCAGTTTCCCGTAATAATCATAGATGTGTTGGGTATGGGTATGTGGCTGGTGTATGGGATCTTTTTTCATGTGGTGGTGGTCTTTTAGGATTTATTTATGCTTCATTGTTTGTTAAGTTTGTATAGGTAGGAAATGTAATACGATCAGTTTGTGACCTTAATTGTTTTAACATATCACGACAGGCTTGTTATTAACTAATTATTGAACACTGATTGCGATGTTACCATTTTTCACCTGTGAGTAATTACTGACTTTACTTATCCATTATCAACTTTACTTACTTTATTTTATTTAATACTTTACTTTTATTACAAAACTCTATTTTGAGGAAACTGTATACCTTGACAAATGTTTGTTGCTGAAATATCAGTAAAAATAAGCTTAGTGTGCAGTTACAGTATATATTTTTCTTTACAAAGGACAGTGTTTTATGGGGACATTCCATTGGCTTTTATATGCATTATACTGGTCAAACTGTTTCCCCTTCTCCTAACCCTACCCCTTACAGAAAACTTTCATTTTAGATCATTCTGTATGATTTATAAGCTTGTTTCCTAATGGGGACCAAAAAAATTGCTCCACAAGGTCAAATTTGACTGGTATTACTATCACTGGTATGACTTTTTTTTTATCTTTTGGTGACCTGTGACTTTAAGTCAGTCTGCAAATGCTAACTTGGACTATAAATGCCTCTAAAATCTAAACAAACATTGGCCAAAAATGTATGGATTTTCATTATAATTCCTCTGTGAATAGATCACAGAAAAAAAGGCAGCACCGTTAGTGAGTATGTGCATTTATATGTGTACCAAGCTCCAGTAAAGGATCTATTTGTTCTCAGATCTATGATTTATTTTTATCATTAATGGCTATTGTGGGATTTGAATGAATGGCTGCAGTATCGTTCTGCTATGCTTTTCAGTCTGTGATGTAGAGCTCTGGGCCTGAGCTCAGATCTGCGTCACATACCTCGAGAGCGAGAAAAATTCACTTTGAGATTAAATGTGATTCCATAGACTGATTACGGCCTCCTGTATCTGACTCATTTTTCACAGGCAAACCCAAAGAAATGGCAGAAACACTAAACGGCCAGACAAGGTGGCACAGTAAATTATAATTATGCTCCGTGTAACTCGTTCCCTGCCAAGCGCTTCTAATATGAATACACTGAAATAGTGCTTTCCGTTCTATTCCACTTGATACATCACTGCAGAGATGCCACTTTTAAAATGCTAACAGTGTTAGTAAATAAGAATTTCATTTTCCTCTAAGCCTGTAATAAGTCTGTGTGGATTTGATGAGGCATAGTGGCACTTTCTCCTCCTCTTGCACTCACACCCACCCACCCGCACGCACACACACACACACACACACACACACACACACACACACACACACACATTCTCTTGTCCTGTGTTGCGCACTTGGCGACTGTACCCCTAAACAGCAGCCAAACATCTCCCCCGGGTCATCAGTAATGAGCATTCTCCATCATCTCGACTTCCATTCACTCTGCTCAGTGATTACATTGAATGGCCTAATGCTGGGCTGGTTTTACTTTATGTACACTCGCACAAATATACACACACAAGTGGAGTAGAGTGGATTTCTGAAAAAGGAGGCAAAGTCCCATTTGTTTTTTTCATCCCAATGTAAATTCATGTTCCAGTTCATTTGATGTTTACATGGTGTTGGCTTGAAACGTGTATGGAATGCAATTTATCTTACACTATCAACAAACAATCAATGCTATAATATTTTTTTTGTATGCATTATATAAACATATTTCTTAGGGATGTGCTTGAAGTCAAGTATCTTATTCTGAAGGGCTCAAAAATAGCTCAAAAAATGCAATGCAATGGTGAGTAAAATTACACTAAGACTATATTTTACAATTTTCCCCCTTTTTCCATTTTTTAAAAGAATAATTCTTCATTTAAATCATTTATTATACAATGAATATTTGCTATATGGAAACCACACTACCATTCAAATATTCATGTGACACTGAAGACTGGAATAATGTCATACGCAACAATTCTTTCATAATTTTACTGCATTTAAATGAGTTTTGATCAAATAAGTCTTCATAAGAGATTTATTTAAAATAAATACTTGTTACTGTATAAATTATTAAGTTTTAAATTGTATAATTTAAAAATGGGTTAAAAATGGGCTCTTCATTTAGTTTTGACACACATCTGGTTTCAGCCCCACCCACATCTAATTCTATATGAATACAGATGCAGAACAGATTATTTGTCAAAGCAACAGATACAAATAGAGTTAATGACTTTTTTAAAACCAAATCACATTAAAATCTCATCAACTTTAAACAATATTTAATATTGCTGAAAAAGTAAGAACTGCAGTAGTATAGTATTAAGACTCATGTGGCTTGTTACTGGTAACTGATGATTGGCTATAATTATTAATAGTCACCTTTTTGGACCATTAGTCAACAAATCCTCTGTAAACACTGCGGGTCTCATGTCAGTCGCAGGCACGGAAGTGCAGCTTTCATTTAACTGAGCTGAGTGGTCACTAAATTCTCACTTCCAGTTTGTTTCAATTCAGAAGTGACCGAAAGTGGTGATGTCTGACTGGGTGTGCTTACTTTGTACTTAGCCTGTCCATTTCCACCAGTTTGACCCATTCATTCAGGCCAATTAGTGGCCTGGCTGACTGTTGGACAGAGTCACTTTAGAAAAATAAGTGGTGTATACACCACGCAATCTCATATTTCTATATTCTGTCATCCTACTTTTTTGTGGAGGCACAAAAACGCCCCTGACGCACATCTATCCGTGTACATATGCACATTCTCATTAATAGATGCATATACAGACGCACAACCATACATGTTTGCATACACGCATGCAAAAACACCAGCATGCCCACACACGCACAAACCCTGCACCAGGACAGCTGCCCATATATGATCAAACGGCTTGCGTAGGCAGCCAATTCACGCAGGCGGGAGAGTGACACAGCTCATTCTGCGGGCCTGAAATGCAAGGTCCCATCTGTCCCAATGGTGTTTCAGATTCCCATGAAATGCTACTAAGAGAAAAAGTTTATTCCCTCTTTCAAAATGTGCCTGAACTCACAATGACAGCCACTGGATTGTGCAGCGGATAAAGCCTGGAGAATTAGATCAAACCGAGCCCTGTGGATAAAAACGATGATTTGATGAAAAATACAATTTAAAACCGTGGGGAAAAAAAAGACCTGCGCTCCTAACAAAACTGTATCCAATCCCAATTGAATACTGTATTGGCATGAAACAAAAATACCACTCTTATTTTAGAAATCTGATTTCATAATTGCTCCAAAAGCCATTTAATTTTCTCCTTATAACTTTCACATTTTAATCTCACAGTATATGTCAGAACTAATGCAGGTGACTGGCATTTCTATATCCGGAAAGAGAAGACTAGAGATTCGCAATAACCACAGATCAATAGAGCCTTTTCCCACTTTTTCACAGAAACAAGAAAATGAACGGGTACCAAAAGCCGTTCCTTTGACTCCAGCCAAACGCCATTGACATGCGAGGAAAAGGGGAATAGCGGGAGAGTTAGGGATGAATGTCTTTACTTGGCAGAGCTGTGCACTCGCGCTCTCCTTTGGGAAACCAAATCTGGTTTCCATGGCAACTCTGCCAGAGAAGACAGAGTAAGAAAGGAGGAGGAAGACAGGAAGGACTGCGGGTCCTGTTCATATTCAAATGCCTGCCTCACAGTGTGCTCCGGAAGGCACGGTTACGATTGTGTTCACGCGAGCGTGAGAGAACACTGCTGTCTCGGCTATGTCAATATTTCGTAGACCTTGAATATCAGCCAACATCTAACCATACATTGAATACATTAGCAGTACAAAAGAACAGCTGTACAATTAAGTCACAGAGCCAAATTCTACCTGATCTTCCATCTCTCTGGAAGTCCACATGGTACCATTCCCCATCGTTGACTTTTTTGTTGACAGCACGGGTTTTGGTGGTGCCCGAGCCCATGTCGAGTAGAAGGTACAGGTGGCCGTCCAGCATCTCAATGGCGAAGAAATCCACCTTTAAGGTTTTGGGGCTCTTGGGGTCTTTCTGCTGCTGCGGTTTGGGTTTTCCGTGGCTGAAGAGAAGAAGCCCGTTGGGCTCAGTGGTGCGGAAGTCGAAGGAGATGGAACCGGCTTTTTTGGCGGACCACTTGTCAAGGGTAATGAATGACTCTGGCGTCTCGAAGGTGACAGGATCTAGGGTAGCCACGTTCTCACATTTGAAGGCCACCACACCGCTCACCTTCATTTTGGGGTCGCCTAGCTTGGCCAGTCGAGACAGCTCGAGCCTTACATCATTGTTCTTGTACACAACCTTTATGCGAAAAGAGAAGAAAAACAGACTTCCAGTGAGTTAACAGCAAAAATTCTAATTCTATATCACATTGTTTACTGTATGCTACTGTGTATTGCAATTAGAAACAGGAGTGTCGGAAAAGGGGTAGAAATCACATTAACAGCATCAACTATTATCACAATTTTCTACTAAATTTGTACAAGAGGCCCAGAAAACCTATACCGTTGCTCCTGACTGGAGCTGTGAATTATATATAACAAATTATATATAATTTGTTGGTATGATTTTAATTATTTCACATTTACATGTAATATTTGCATTTGTAATAAAATAAAATAAAATAATACTAAACAAATAAAATAAAAAATCCCCATTCTATCTAACACGTACTCGTCAATGTACTGATGAACTCCACTTGTTCATTGCTGTTAAATCCTTCAAAAATTCTATATTTTGACTAAATGTGAAATCCTTTCTTTGACTGCTGCATTAATCACAAGCAGGTTCAATGACACTAAAGTGACACTAAAAGCTTAGTTTGAGAGGTTACTGATAATGATTGGTTATTTATGCAACAAACTTAATGTCTTTGCCTATATCAGGTGCATTTTTAACAAATAACCAGCAGTCTCCTCTGGCATCTGTGTCGTGATTAAAACTCAAATTATAATAATTCCAGATTTTAAATAAATTAACTGTCATTTCAGTTGTTACGCTCTTTTTGAATAATTTTTTATGGAGGATAAACCTGTGTCATTTTTGTGAAGTCTTTGTCAAAGAAACTTTGACATTCACACTTTTGGTGTCTCGAGATGAAAAGTACATATCCTTATTATATTTGTCTTGTACTATAGTGGGTATGTAATCATTCGAGCTTCCTGGTGTCGTTTTACTATTCAATCCGAATGGAATCAAATAACAGAGCATTTTCTGCCCTCTCAGAATGTGGGGCACAGCTCTTTCCCTCTCTCCTCCACAAGGCCAAAACCCTGTGATATAAGCCCAAGCACCAGACTGTGAAGTGTTCATGACAACCCTCTTTTAATTCAGTTTCGATTTCATTTGAGCCCCAGCCAGGAAGAAGATAATGGAATGCGGATGCAATAAAAGCTTATTGATGATGCTTCAGAAATGCCAATCACAGGCAGGCACAAGAGACTTTCCAGCCATTAACGGGCCACAGGAGTGAATCCCCCCCCCCTGCTTTTTCCTACTTCATAAACTCACACGGGGGAAAAACACAAGCGATCTGTGATAAAACACTGCACAACATGGCCGCCGGAGAAGAGTGCATTACAGATGGGAGGTTAGGGGCAGGGACAGCAGGTGGAGGACGACACATCTGTCTGTGCCACCTGATCTGAACGATCAGGAGCCTGGAAAGTACTGACCAAATGCCCCTGAGAGGAGGGGCGCATTAAAACAAATGCACTAATGATGAATGGGCTTCTTGTGCACCCTGCTCTAAACGCCTGAATAAATCAACCTCAGCGTAAATAACTACTCGCGTATGGTAACGAACACACACCTAAAGGTCCTCGATGTACCTCACACATGCTCATAATGCTTGAAAATATTAAACATGACCTTTGCAAAGCAAAATAATGACAAAATAAAATGTTAAAAGGTCCCTTGTACCTCCTACACACAGTCGTCCTTTAAATGCCAGTAAAGCTTGTGAATGAACCAAGAAGAGGATCCATTCAGAATCCTTCTAGTATTAATTCTTGTTTGTTAACACAGGTCAGTGACCTCAGGCCTGCTGCTAATCTGCAGAAATGATAGCGCATAAGCACAGAGAAGAGACACCAAATGCCTACATGCGGCAGCAAACCACAGCTTACACTAGTCCGCACTTTCATGTTTTGACATTGACTGATTGCTTGTGGATTGGTTTTGAAATGATGGCTGGAGGCTTAGAAGGGAAACAAATGGTGAGTCTGTACTGTTCCAATGCTTCCAAAATTTGACAAAATGACACATTTTGTCATGTTTGTGCCTCTTGTAAGAATTTGTGAGCATTTAAAGTGTTACATTTGCATTAAGAAAGGCACTAGTATTACTGTCTATTTGATGCATTAGATGGCGCTGTCTAAAACCAGGATGTACATCTAAACTACTGGTCCTCAAAAACTAGTTTCAGGTCTGTTCCAAGAGAGCAACAGACAGCCAAGAAAACCAACACTTAATATAAAAAAAAGAAATAAATAATACTACATTTTTTAAAAATGCAAATAATAAAAATATGATGTACTACTGTTTTTACAAAAAGTAGGGACACATCGCTATTGAAATTATGGCTGATACTGATAAGAATATAATTATCTTCATTCAACGTACAATAACCATAAATCACTCTATTATAATTCTATTGTATTTTATCCAATCAAATGAAAATAAAAAACTAAACTAAAACTAAAATGAATCATTTTAAATGTTAAATGTAAATTTAGGCACCACATAAAAATATTCATTTTGAGTTAAATTTTTAAGGGTTTAATGAAATCAAAGGTACTCTTAATGTAAAAAAACTCATTTTTTTTTTTTTAAATATTGAATCAATTAATAAAATATTTAAATTTTTTATTTTATTTATTAACATTTTCTATTTTACATTTTCCTATTCAATCTACAGGAAAATATACCTATGGTACCATATATCCATGGAAACCCTGAACAAAACTATGTAAAACTATGCAATTTTTATTATCTCTTATGTTTTCTTTTGATTCTGTGTTGGGTCACATGGTGACCAATGAAAAAATCTACTCCCGGGGAAAAGCCAGTTGAGAACCACTGACCTAGACTAAGATTGGACATGATAAATAGTCTAACAAGGTAAATGCCAGCGAGCATCTCTCACTAATTGTGTGTCTACAGGTTAATGAATAAATCACCAAGAGCTATAGCACCTTAAGTTCAACCAAGAGCAGTGCTTCATTGTCTCCCTGTTTCATAAATCAATCACAATCAGCTCAATTTAACTGCTTTTCACAGGCATACCGATGTTAGCTAAAGATGAATTTTTCTATATATAAAACAAAAATGGCTGGCATTTAATTTCTGTTTATAACATCAAAAGCATTTCCGACTTCCTGGCAGTCAGAACAGCTCTTTACTTCACCAGCTGGCGTATCAGAGGACATTCCATTCCACAGAGACTAGTCTAACATGGAGGATAGAAGCTGATGGATGAGACGACATGTTCTCTACAGTTTTCCTCTGAGGAGTATTACTATCTAAGATAGCTCATGTCAAGAGCATGTGAGGTAGTGGACCGATGATTTGTCATACAGACCCATCAAATATTGCTGGAAACTGAGTGATTTGAATGTATTTCATTAAGCAGGCTTTTAATTTTCACATGAACTTAAATGTATAATTTACTTATTTATCCTATTTGTCGCACTCTTATTTATTTGTTAGCTCTTGTCACTGTTGATGATCTGTGACCCATTTTCAAATTAACAGTCTTCAGATGTGAGGAAACCTCATCAGCAATGTTAATTAGAGAATGCATTTCAACTCTGCCGTTGTGTTTCGGCTCCTGAGTCTGTGGCGAGTGATAAATAATTCCCTCAGTTGTTGGTGTATGTGACATGTTATGAGTTTATACAGGCCAGAGAGAGCAGCATAACCATAATGTGTACTGGGACACATCCTATAGAAAGACGCTCCTGAGACAGCAGAACAGTACTAACATCAGTATAACATATAAAAAGTAACTAAGACAAATGATAAAACCATGCATACATGTGTACTGTATGCTGCAGTGGCATTTAAGTAAGGTGAGATTTGTTGTATGAGTGCAGAGGTGGACTTAACAATTAGGCAAAGGTAGGCGACCGCCTTGGGCCCCCAAAAGCAAAGGGCCCCCTAAAATGCTTTTTATATGTGAGATGCGCTTTCAGTGTGGACCACGACAACCGTCTGTGCGTCCGCGTTGAACGTGCTTCTTAGCAAAAGTAGGGCGATGTAGAAAATGGGGACGGAATCCCGGAATCTATTCGTAAAAACGGAATTTACAGTGTAACGCGGAATGTGACGGAATGAACGGCGCAGACGCGTGTTTCGTTTTCTATTTACGCACGCGCAACACTCGCGGTTGTCGTCTGTAGTAGCTAAATAGTATTTTTGCCATTTAATATTCACATACACTAGTCCATATCGCAGTTTGATTGAAGTGTATTGAATTGCATTTGATTTATTCATTCAATATTTGACGAATTCCCTGGCATTGCTCGTTACACAGTAAACTTCTGTTGTGTAGCATTTTGAATGTACAAAAATTAAAGGGTTTGTTTAATTTTCATTGGAATAAAAGATAGATTCATGTTTTTGCCTTCATTTGATTACCAGAAAAATGAAAATACACAACACAATTTCTAAAAAAAAATAAGTAAATAAAATTAACATTTCATAGGGCCCTATTATTGTATACAAATTAATAAAATAAATTATGAATTCAATTAATTTGATATGTTTTTGATTAAACCATTAAAATGGAATACAGAAAAATGAAAATGGAAAGCACAGAATTTGGGCCCTAAGAATGTAATTTTTGTTAAACTTTTAAAAGGTCTAAATTGCTGTTAAATTAAACAAGGTTCATGATTTTAATTAATTAGACATGTTTTTTGTTAAAATGTAATATAATGATCCAGAAAAATTCAAACGAAAAAAAAAAAACTGAATCCAGAAAAATTTAAACTGTGTAGCATTTGGACCAATCAGGCACACAACTTTTTGTTATATTTAACAAATAATATCTAATGCCCCCTCACCTAACCAAAGGGCCAATTACGAGGGTCTATGGACCCTTCCCCCGAAATGCACCTAACACCTCAGAAAGGCAGAACAGGCCTCTGGCTCCATGGTAATCAATGCTGATATCACTGGTTTTATTGCCTAAAGGAATGCCGGCAGATAAACTCCCTCATTTTCCTCATAAGAAAGACACATAATGCCCAGAGAAATGGACTGTTCTCTAGTTAATTCATAGGAAAACCGTTATTTGAATGAACACACATATTCTTCAGGCCATTGGGTATATTATTGTCATTGTGTATTTTGTCTTTGATATTTGTAGACTATTTTAGTATGCTTGTGAGGGAAAGAAACCTCAAGGTTGTAAATGTGTGAAATTGTATAGGGCCCCATTCCTGTATTTTGCCTGGGGCCCCCAAATCACTAAATCCGCCCCTGTATGAGTGTGTATATCAGTGGCGTTCCGGCCACTTAAGCTGCGAATGCTCCGCATACCCAGGCCATTTGAGAGAATAAGTTCACGGGATAATTCATATAAACATGATTATAAGTTGATCCCTTGTCATTTGAAATGTAACTTAAAGCTTAAAGAGTTAGGAATAAGTACGTACAATGATTTATTTGCCAAATGGCAGTAATTTTCTTTAAATCTACCAGTTGCTTCCGGGCGAGCGGATTCTCCGCAGCTTTCTCATCTCCGCTCTGTTGCACATTGTTTTTGATGCAAAACCAACTCGACTAAATCAAAAGAAAGGAAAAAACACTGTAACGGTATATTTATGTTTTCTCAAGCAAAGCAAATTTTAAATGTCCACTGAAAACATATCTTCTTAAATTTTCTGGTCATAGACAACGTATGTTGAAGATATATGTTATTGTCAACGTTGTTGCCTAAGCAGTAAATTAAAAACGTAGTCTATATAAAATTTTAATAATAACAAACATCATATTGTTCCCTTTGTTTTGCGTATGCTCATGTCGCTTACAGTTAAAGTCCTTCTCTGATTTTATTATTGTTTGTAAGGTTGCAACGTTACTTTGCAATATTTTAAATATTTATTTGGTATTTTGCATGGTCTGTTATTAGTGTCACCCTGGTGGGAATTTTAACTCCTATTCACTGGGAATAAAAAAAATCATTTAGCAGATGCAGAGATATAGAGCGGGGGAATCTCCCCATCTCCCCACCCTCTGATTACACATCATAATGTAACTACGTGTAAACGTTATTTGGCAGTTTTTACTTGGAAAACCTGCTATATTTTTCTTGCATTGGAATAATGGATAAACTTGAAATGATAGAAGAAGGATTGGAGATGAATTTCATTTACAAATAAGGTAGGAAATGTACATACTTTTAAATCGACAACTGCCACGGTGTTGCTTAGCTATTTGTCATCTGTGATCCCTTTTGAGTGCCCTAAAAGCCAGGGGGGGAGGGGGTCTCACTCAGCACTCAGCATACCCGGTTAAAAAAGTCACCGCTCGCCACTGGTGTATATATATATATATATATAATAGGGGTGTAACGGTACACGTATTCGTATTGAACCGTTTGGTACGAGGCTTTCGGTTCGGTATGCATTACAAACCAAACAATTCTTTGTAGTAATCCTATTACATTTGGGGATAAAAGAGCTTAAAGTGTGTGAAATATAATGTACTCCAGCCCAGGTTGTGACAGTGAGGTAGTTCGCTAGAGATTTCCCTCTTTTCCTCGCTTTTAAATAGATTGTAAATGCTTGTGCGCATTTTACTTTCACTTTCGAACTAGCATTTCGGTGTCAATTGAATGAACTGACAACAACAAAACAGTACGACAAACGTCTCGGGTTACTCGTGTAACATCTCGGTTACGTATGGTAACCCTCGTTCCCTGAAGGAGGGAACGGAGACGTCACGTCGGATGACCGATGAAATTGGGATCTCGCTTAGAGGGACCAATCTACTTTGAGTGTAAACTAAACGAGCCAATGCACATTGGCATGCGATTATTGCATCCAGCTGCTGCTGATCACAGCGTGAGTATAAGTAGGCAGCAGATGCAGCGCATATTCAGGTTTTCGCTGAGGAGCCGAGCCAGTGACCGGGCCGCTCAGCGGTGGTACAGGATCTGTGGCGACGGGACGTGACGTCTCCGTTCCCTCCTTCAGGGAACAAGGG